TAATAGGTAGTTGTTCATAGGATGACTTGGACTTTTCTATCAACTCTCTCTACGCATTTCCGATCTTAGAGCTAATGAACCTCAACTGTCCAGAGAATGTAGGGGCAAACACATTCAAGCGTTTCATAATACACCTGATGAGTCTCTCTCAATGTTATTCACAGACTACAGTTATTAGATCAGTATGATGTCATGCACGAAACAAATGAGGACATATAAGAGCTATATGTGCATTCAAAGAAAAATCGTGCTCCGTCATCTGATCAGCAAGTCAGTTACTGCAGTACACTTTTTTGAACCTGAAATGATTTCTGTTTACATATTTGTCCGCGGTAGGACCTGATAATAGACTGTCAGAAAATCTGAACCTGAATAACAATAGTGCATAATCACCATAACTGAAGTGTATCAAACGTTATGTACAGACACTATTCTTGGTTGGATTTATGAATAATAATTCTTACAAATAAGATACCTCGTTTGGAACAAAATAGTGTGTGATTGGGTACAAGTTGTGGTAAAGTATAACCTATCACTAACACAAAATGCCTATTGTGAAATTCAGTACCGTATCTAACAGCGAACATATATTCCCAATTTGTATGATGAGTATAGAATTCGTTAGGTATCAAACACCAGGTACCTTTACTCCCCAGCCTGATCGTCTCTATGACGAAATATACAACCGAGCAGATAGAACTACGATAATTGATACTCAATATGGATCTCCCGTTACATCCAAGATTACTAGAAATTCAGAGTTTTCAGTGCAACTTCTATACCTGATTAATAATGCTCCAACTAAACACTAGTAAATAAAAAACAAAGGTTTAGTTATAAGTACGGTACAGTGTAGACGTAAATTAACATATAAAAATGCGACTAACATAGATACTTGAATAGTTTGGGAACACAAGTTATGCAATCCCACCTGTACTAAAAAAACTGATTTGACTAAGTAATAAAAAGTATGTCTTCCACCGAGCAGAAAACTATACTCTGTAGCTCAAGGAATATTGACAATCAAACTACAATGTGTTAGTAACGTAAAATGCTGCAAAATATCAAACCCATCACTCATCAGTTCTCTCAGAAAATGAGCTACTGAAATTCTGAACACCAATATTCATTTCTGAATGACAGGACAAATGATTCCCTTTGGCTGCACTTAAACGCAACTCGATTTCGTAAACATGGCCGTCTGCTTAGCGATCAATCAGAATGAGGCGGGAATGACTATATCCGCCATCTTTGTAAGCAATGGCGTTTAGCTGTCCTTGTTCTGTGTTTTTTCAGCTTGTTCTTTTGTGCAGCTACATAATTTAATGATTCAGTGTACTTAAACGCCGCAGCTATTTTAATATTCTATCCTGCTACCGATGTTAACGCTGGAGAAATTGTTTAATGACAGTGATTTTGAGGTATGTTCAGTGTTGGATGTACAGTCTACAAATAAACACCAAACATACTTATCGCTATCTTATCATGTGTCACAGCAACAGCATCAAAGGCAAATTTTTTCAATTTTCCAAGCAGACTGATTTGAATCAGCATACTTATTTAAAAAAGTCAGCTCTACTTAATCAACTGATCTGTTTCGTTACAGGCTCCAAATACTATACCTAAGTGTACTATAATTCTATCGACCAAACTGAATTTTACGACAACTAAGAATACTAAACTAAGCAAGTGCCATAATTATTGTTTCATCTGCACAGACATATCACTCAAAGTAGTTAAATGTACATAATTCAGCCGATAAACCCAAAACACGAACTATAGGCCAGTCAAACTAACCTAATAGAAGACAAATGATATTGTTTTGAGACTGAAGACAACAGTCAATTGCTCGCAAGACATAGTTTACATCACAACAAACCTTTCTTCAGTAACATTATTTACTGACGATCTATGTGAAGAAAATTAACGATGCGATTAAACTTACTAGGACTTTGGATATCATTCCAGCATGCAATGTACGTACAGTCGAACGTGACGAATAAAACTTACAACCAGAGCAAAATTCACAACATAATCTAGTCATTTAATAAAAAATACATTATAAAATGGCAAATCCCATAATTACATGAACGTAGACATTACCGTTATTACACTGGGTGATACATTAAGTTTACATGGAAACGTTGCGGATAAATCCACACTTCACTTTCTATAGAGATACTCAAAAAAGTAAAAATAACAACCTTTAAAGTGCGGTGAGGGAATAAACAGAATTGAAGCAACTAATGAGAAACTACATAATAATAAGGATGCCACAGACATTCGGTGTTTGGTAGTACCTTCCCTCGTAAAATATTTTCAATCGGACATCAGGCCAATAAAAAATAAAAAATCATGGAGTTTGGAGATATCTTTTACAGGTTATCGATGTATCTAGAAGCGTCTGATTCAGGCTCACTAATATTTGCAAGGGATGTACAACATAGAGTATGCACTCGTGATCTGTTGTGGATATGTGACTGAGTACCTTCAGCTAGGATCTCTCCAGTAAAACTAGTGAGGCTAGCATCAATGAAAAAGACTAAAGAACTATATATTCTGGGTATTTATTCATCGCCACAATACCAACGGATGAACATGAGATCCAAAATCGTTCGAAAAGTTTATGATTCTAATTCCATACGATCAGATTTGGAAATATGAAGGTCGGATATGCTAATTCAACGCCTGAGTGGAAACGTCCACTTATAAGACGTAGTGTAAGGTGATTTCCACACATACTGGGACAAAAACACACATGAAACATCTTATATTTTCAGTATTTTGAAGGCAATTCATAATCAGGAATTTTCTCACTTTAAGTTTTGTCGAAAGCATACGCATACATTTTGTAGTGTATATCAGAAACGCATCGACCTTAAAGATGCTACAAGTATTCTGAGTTTGACAACACGTTAACCATTAACACCTTTACAGTCGAAGTGTACAAACCCAGTCAAATCAGAAGTCAGAAAGGAAGAAGTTCGAAGATATATTTGATAGCCTATCGATATATCGAGGAGTTACTAATCTTAGCAGTCTAGCGGTTGTAGGAGATATGAAGCACGTCGTACACACTCGTGATATGGTGCAGATGCATGACAGGGCGCCTTCAGCTAGGTGGGTCCATTACAACTAATGCGGTCAGCACCGAATGCCGAAGACCAACAGAACTATTGATTTTAGGGATTTATTTGTCGCTACAACCTTGAGACGATTAATATTGTTACCTCTTATGAGCATATAGCTTAATAGCCCTGAAGTTATATCAGAGTTCTTCATTAACCGAGATCCAGTCGCACAAACGGCAAGTGGTTCTAATTTATGCACTACTACCCTTAAACGAAAGATGAGTTTTTCAGATTGTAGAATTTTACTTTCCAGAGAGAAAACGTGGATTTTGTGCTGGTCAACTTATAAAACTATATTGTGTGTATCCATTCTTTTATTGGACAAGATCGTGAAATAAGCAGGAAATATTCGTAGCGGCAAAGAAACCCCGAAAATAAACAGCCCTGAGAGTCTTCGACATTAAAACTGACGTCGTCATTTTGACTGGATAACCATGACCGAAGGAGCTCGACCAAGCATACTCTTCAGTCCGTTTGTGTTCGCGATACCCCGGATCTCACAAAATGATTATTCAGCCTGTAATTCTCAACGCATAAAGCATTTTCAACATAAAACTTCCCCGGCTAGTAGTTCGACTGGCTTCGAAACCTTCGGATAATAAAGTATTACAGACCGCAGAGCTGCGTAAGAATGTATGTCCGTGACATCCTTACTACCTCTGCTGTATTAGATATTTCCAATTTACCATTATCGCTTCATTTTTTCATTGTATGATGCATGTGTAGACTACCAATGTAGGGGATCTGTGTAAATGAATGAGAGCCTACATGAGTTGAACGGTAATCTAATGACATCTAAGCTGACGTAGAAGCCACACCTCACTGTTAATACCGGATGTGACTCTGGGCATTGTTTCTTTTCTCCTCATTATCTCAAGGATTAAGATGAGCTCGTGATTTTTAAAAACGACATGAACAGCATAGAAAGTGTAATATCACGACATATATTCATTCAACTTGTGAATGCTTAATGTTTTTTTCAGTAGCAGCAACCAATTGCTATAACCGTTTCAAAGCCACGATACCTTTACAACCACACGGCATGTTTCATATGTCGAGTCTGTTGCCTATCATCCTTAAAAGACAGACCAGGATGGGAACATCCCAACGCGATTTAAATCAATGAATTGTACGAAGATAGCCGACAAGTGTATTTCATTAACAATCATACGATATTACTGGAGTCAGATATCAGGTCACAAAAAATATATGGTGTCAACATGTCAACTAATCCAGTTAAAGCGAACCCAATGAGAAGTTTCACTACAACATTCACGCGGTTGGAAAGTGTTACGGAATTCTGGATGCATCGCCTTATTTCGTCAGTAACGTATGGTCAAGTAGTCAACAAAATATACCTACCACATGAACGTTAGTTTCAAACACAGGGTGTATAGTAATGATGGATTCTATTGCTACTTTCCATCTAAATATCGGCTGGCGAACCACACAAAAAATATTAGGTGTCTTGAACATAGAAAGCCAATAAGGAACCAATGGGCATCTGAATAATTTTAACTAGTGTACAACATGTCGTTGAAGCAACCTTCGGTGTACTAGCATGAGTTGTTGGAAAACACATTCAAAAGAACCCGGGAACAATAGAAAATTAATAAACGCCTTTTTGAAAAAAAGAACGCTAGTTATTTAACTGTGTAATAATATTACAAGAGAAATGAGATACAATCAATTGAAATAAGACAAGTGACGTAACAAAGGACTAAAATGCATAAAAGAAAACAAAAAAACAAAGGCATAAAAACAAAGATGAAAACATAATAAATATCGTAAAATGTCATGGTCAGGTGAATATTGCACATTTATAGTAAGAACAAATGCCGTCATGGTTTTTCAAAAATGAGGATGAGTCTATGGTTGGTTGTGGAGAAAAAGTTCAAATTTGAAGTCAGACAAATAATTTAAACGTTGATGCAAGACACCGTGTAACTGAAATTCATCATTGTCTAGTAAAACAAATGGAGAGAATAAAAATTTAGGGATAACAATAAAGATTAACATGCTAAAAATTCAATTGAACAAATAAACGCAGGCTAATTTGTTCAAACATCTAAAGAAATTAGCTTTCTATATAAATCCCAAGTCATCAACAAAATTTACTCAATGAGTAACAAACGGAGTCTTATAAATCCATACCCTCTTCATCTTAGTTTTAATAGACGCTGTTACAGAATCTGACGGATTTTATTGAGAAATCTAAAAGTGTACTTTTAGAGGTAATCAATTTGTCATTTGTTTGGCAAAGCTACAAGACTCCCTAGATTGAAGTAAATGAAAAAGTTCTGCGCCTGATCTAGAGAGTTTTAATTCAGAGGTTAAATAGCTAATCCATACATTGGAATAAACTAACATTAGAACATCTGACTTCAATTGTATCTTCCAGCCATGTACGTGAAATAAAATTCGCTTTGCAACATATATTATACGACCCTCAGTTAATACATAACGACAGATATAAATCACTACATGTTCTTAATAAGCTAATTTTAGCTGCTGAAATAGTGTTAAGAAAAAAATGTCAAATTAAAGAAAGACTGGTAGCCTTCAGAGATACTTTAAGGATTAGAAAGAGACGTTTTTTATAGAGAATCCAAGATATAATTAAAAGTACAGTTACATTCTGACCAGCAAATTTCTGACCAACTACATGACAGAGTGTGGAGTAATCTTAAAAATATGACGAATTTATTTTAATCGACATGGAAATAGAGTTACAATAAGTAATTCGACATACGAGAAAAAAAGCAATTTAGACAAAACAATCAAATAAATAACTATATAAATAAAAACTTACCATTCTTACTAACTAACAAATCGACCACAGCCAAAAGAACAGTAAACTTTTGACCATTAAATAACTTTAAATCAGATACCATAGAAAATGGACATAACTTATGGTTAACTGTTATCGGACAAGTAAGCTGTTTTGATGGTGAAATTTGAACTAGAAGTGCAAGAACGATAGGTGTATTGTGTAGCTGATCATTTTTATCAGAAAAAGTATCGTCCATAAGGCCATAATCACAGGACCCTTCAGTGTTCTGTACGTGATTGGTACTTAGATTAGATATATACCCACTGGTATTAATTTCAGGTTTGGAATCATCATTAATGAGGAGTAGGTAGACAGCTGTAAAGGTGGAATGGCATAACTGACTATCATTTAACAGATTTGGATGAAGACCGGATAAAGGAAATAAGACAATATTCATTTCATCACTGATTCTAAGTTGGTCTCCAACACAGAAAAATGGGACTAACTGAAAAAATAAGAATATTAAAAATTGTAAATATTGTTATATCTATAGTTAAGGTATGGAAGAATTTTTTAAAATCTATTAGTACTCTATAAAGTACTAAGGAATATATTTTTCGTTGGAAACCAACATTTAACATCAAGGATTATGGGGAAATACCTGTATGTTAATCAGTCGTCAAGTGATGTGTCAGTATTTGGGATTTATATATGTCAATGGTTACTCTTGGGTACTTTTGAGGACCAGAAAGCACTAAACGGTTATGATATCCTAGTATGAGATACCTTATTGACCACCTTACTTTACCACAGATTAAACTCGAAATTAGATGAGAGGGTTAACACTCACTGATATGAAATCTCAGCTTTAATCAATTAGCTGCCTAACACGAGGGTCATCCAGTAAACCGATAATACCTGTCCGGTTCGGGTACATTAACCAATTTTTTTCAAATCACTGTTTACAACTGAAAAACTAGAGATAATAATTAAATAAAAGCGACTCAGTAAGTATGCATCAAATGTGATAACTGATTGCACACTTCTTCTTAAGTAATTTTAATAATTTGTACTGTGTGTGTTTGCATACATCTTATCTCCCTCTCTATATTGAGATATTTGTTCATAGTGTGATTATTCTTATCACAATTAGTATACTTAACATCATAAAATCTGTGTATAACTTTTAACTTATTATGTTTAGTTGAATAATCTATTTCAATATTATCGTTAACTGATAAACTGCCATTATTGGTTTAATAATATTTATATATTCATATGCCAATGTTACTGTATATTAAACTAAAGCCTAATGAAAATCTAACTGAAGACAACATATTTTACTGATATGTTTTTCTAATCATATACTCTATATGTACTTTTCATGAAAACATAGTCATTATTATTATGATCATTCATTATTAATAATATTATTATTTATTCATTTTTCAGCGGCATACTTTCTTTTTCATTTTCAAGTACGATATTAACATAATGGTCAAAATATGAATTTAAGATGAAAACTTGTTGTTCTTATCTATTCTAAAAGTAACAATATCACATGTTGTTTTACTGGTATAATTATGATTGATGATTTATGGTAAGATCATATGAAATTATTTACATTAATTTATATTTGAAAAATAACAGATTTTTCTATTGTATTTAACAACATAACTACACATTACACTTGAACACTTGTTTATTTCCATGAAACACGATAACTTTATCATTAATTTTAATAGAAAATCTTTCAATATTAATTTTTATTAATATTAGTTTACGAATTATTTTCACTGGAGTTAAAATAAATTCATTTTCTTGAAATAAAGTTTAAAAGAAAAACATAATCAAGGTCACCTTAACATTTTACAGTGAAGGGTATTAAAACCAACCTCAAACAAATTTTCACTGTTCACTAGTTTACAATAACTCAATAACACCATTATAAAGTTGTGGAGATTGTTGAGCTTAAGATTATGAACCGATATTGATAATAATCATGTGCTTACTAGTAACTAGTTACGAGAGGTAATTCTCGGAGTTCTAGTGAGAATACGTGACTAGTGGGGTTCAACCGAGTCTGTTGCGAGATAGTAGCTCACTGATGACAATGGTAGCGTAACTTTGTGGATTGGTTGAATCTAGACATTCACACCGTTGGATGCCGGCTCAATGGTCTAGTGGTTAGGCGTTCGCGCGCGAGACTGATAGGTTTTAGGTCCGAGTCTCGTGAGGTGAGATCGTGGGTGCACACAGCCGAGGAGCCCTATACTCGTGCGAAACGGCCATCCAGTGCCTCCAGGTTTTTAACGATGGTCTAAAACTGATCGATTCATGGTCCCAATTAGAATCCAATATCAGCTAATGTGATATATATAAAGTTACTTATAATGCGAATCAGCAGGTAAAAATGATATCTACAAATTAGGCATTTATTCCGACACCATCAATTAAAAGACTGAGAAAGGATGGAAATCAAAAACAAATTAAAACTTTGTTTCTCTAAATAAAGTGAAAACACGGACCAATTGATTAAATAGAAAGCATTTATGCAGAATACTCACCTTTTGACTAGTTTGAAGACATTTATGGGTAACTATTGCACTGTCTTTTTCATTTCTCGGTGTTGAGGTTGACGGATTTATACACTTCATTTGATAATTAGTTTGGATAAATGTATCATCACATTTAACTAGTTCAACTTCAGCTTGACATGTTAAATTACAAGTTGTCAAGTCAAACGCTGAATCACATGGGATAACATCAACAAAATTTGAATGTTTACTCGCATTTCCATTGAATAAATTCCAGAAACAGTTTAAATCAGAAGTAATAGCATGCACAAAAGCTGGTAAATCAGTGTAAGCAAGTAAATGCCACGGCCATGAAGAAGGTGAACTATATGAAAAAAGAAAAAAAATTCATTCGGTTTACGTTAATAATAAAGGTCCTGAACAGAAACGAGAATGACCAAGTGAAATCTTTTACTAACAGATATGTTGATTAGATTAAGAGTAAACGGAAGTCAATAACTAAAAACTCTTATTTTCTTGAACTTCAGTTAAAGTTTACGCGATGCCTACTGATACTACATCACGGTTGTTCAAAACAAAGCATGTGGAGTAAGGTCCGAGTCGGCTAACCAAACACTAAAACATTGACTAATAATATGAAAATCTATATAGAATTTTGAAAAATATATCTAAGGGGCAATTAATAAAATACCTATTGACTAGAAATTAATCATCAATTCATATGAAATTCATTCTGGTTTGACAGTAAACACCATATACATTGAACATCAATATTCATTATTATGATAAGAATAAGTAAGAATACCTTTGAGTTCTCACACAAACCAATAATATGCGTAAATTTCTTAAAGGTAGCGACATTTAAGTGGAAACTTTGGAAAATATAAAACGAGAATTGGTAATCTTGTGAAAATTTATAAATTAACACCAGTTAAAAATAGGCTTTGTCAACAACTAATACCAATTGAACAAGATGTAATTATCTTATAGCCTAAGTAATTCACTTAACAACACTATATAGATTTGAATTAAAGAATTTGACTTTGAATCACATCGGAAACAACAATGATTAACATGTATGTTGTCATATAGAAGAGGATTTGGGCGAAGTTAAACTTTCAGAACTATCAGACGGATTCTTAAATTATTGTGGTCTAATATTCTCCTATTTGTAAGCTTTCGTTTGATTGATAGACTGTTGTCATGTGTTATACTATCTCGGACTAATCGTTATTTAATTATTCTCATATGTTTCCGTTTTTGCATCCTTTATGACTGATTTGTATAAGCATTGAAATTCCATATTTGTGCTACGGTGAAGTCAAATATTTAACCTATATTATCACACAAGCTTCAAGTTATGGATGAACAGAGTTCAATAAAAAAGACTTCTGCCTTTTGATTAGATACTAGGTTCCAAAGAACTTGTGGATCAACAAATGTTAAGGTCTCGGTTATTGTTTGTTGATCCCTGTGTCATTGTCGAAATAGGTCACTGGTCCTACAGGTAACATAGGCGAGAATACTGATAATAAATCTAGACGAAACAACTGCTCTCACAATAACAGCCTAGTTACACGGGCTTCAAACTATCCCAGTAATCTGAAGTTCGTATTGGAGAAATGACATATGTAAATGAAACCGATACTCTTAAAAACAGGGCAAAACGCGAGTGTTCAATTTCAAATAGTTAGCCAACTATTTAAACCGACTTTTTTTTCAATTTAGTAATCTAGAAGATATTTCATAAATACTTTTGTAAATAACAGTAAATCCAAAAAAGGGAACAATAACAGACTACATATGTTGAGGAAATCAGATCAATTTAAGAGTCACTTTAATAGTTGACCTGAGGAACCCATAAAGTAATTAGCTTGAAGAAAATATTTGTCAGTCAGTCATTCAGCTACAACGTAGGACCAGGAACATATATGCATCGGTCCAAGTTATCATACCTTATTAACACGACAAGATGAACACTAAATTCATAGTAGTTACTTCAATGGTAGTAATATATAAAAAAGATTGCATATAAGGACATGATACAGGGAGAAAGAATTAGTTCGTACAAAGAAAGGCATTGAGCAATTTTAATTTCACAGGTAACAGGAACACAGAAAGTATGTACACCACGACGCCATTGTGATCGATTCTAAGCCATCTCACACAGTCTCAAACGATTGGTTACGATAGTCACGCGGACCACAACCAAGTCGTTTCCATCTACAAACATGTCTCAGACCAGAAGTTGGTGACTCCAAACACTGATGCCCCATTTTGGTTTGGCCGACCCTAACTTTCTTCCAACCATCCCCAACACCGGTTAGCATTGCATGTCGTGGTAATCGGTGTTCAGGCATACGCAACACGTGGCCCAACCATCTCAGTCGATGAAGATTCACAACCTCATCAACTGATTCATCATCATTCCCTAATACGCTGTGTCTAACTTTACTATTACTTACCCAGTGATCCCAGCAGACGCCACCAATATTTGTAAGGCATCTGTGGTCAACTACTAGTAACTTACGAGTATCCTCTACCCTTAATGGTCACGCTTCGCAGCTGTAAAGTAGAACGGAAAGAACCGCTGCGCATTATACTCGTTCTTTAATTGATAAAAGGATATCTCGCCTTCGACATAGGTGACGTAAGTTGGCAATAGCCAAACGAGCTTTTCGAATCTATGCCGAGATTTCGTTAGACATCAACCCATAATGGCTGATCAGACTTCAAAGTGAGGTTGTCAACGCATTTGACTACTTCAAATACTGCTTTCAGGTCAAGAAAGACCACCATTGTCTTGTCCTGAAGTCTGACGAATGGTGAATATGTCGTCGATGCAGCTACGACCAGGTCTGAAGCCAGTCTGATTTTCTCATGTTTGCAGTTTACTAGTCTTTGTTAGGCGACCGGTAATTATTTGAGGCTAGAATTTTAGATAATATGTTAGTCAAACTAATCCATCTATGGCTATCTTAGGATGATTTTGACCCCTTCTTATATATTGGGACAATTAGTGATTGTGACCAGTCAGATGGAATTACGTCTAACTTCCAGATTTTAGCTAAAATATTAACTAATCTAATCGCTGAAACTGGACCACCATTCATAAAGACATCTGGAGTTAATCCATATGGACCAACCGCTCTTCTTCGTCTCAGATTAGCTATAGCCTTTTGGACTTCAGCTAGAGTCTTGAGACCTACTTCAATGTTCCATTCAGGTCGTTTGGGAATGGTGGGTAGTTTTAGAGTAACTGAAGGCCAGCTGAACTGCCCCTTAAAGTGTTCCGCCTATCGTTCGAAACGTCTGGGCTGAGAACAGATAAGTGTCGTCTTTTTCCGAGATAGTCTCGCTTACCATTGACTTTTTAATTCCAGTTTCTTCTATTAGTCTGAAAAGCTGTCTGGTGCTACATACAGCCGCCGCCTTTTCCATCTATTTTGCTTTCGTTGCTTATCACTGCTTACGGTCGTTCCTTATACCTTTTTTCAGAGCCTGATGGGGTGAGTTTACGAGAATCCATCAGTGCAATAGACTTAGAAGATATCCAGTGTTTTTTGTAACCCTGTGGTTTAAGCATTACCACAAGTCACTGATGTTTCCACAGCTGTTTGTATATCTTTCAAAGCAACATGTGAACCAGCCTCGTTTTCAGAACTGCCTAAGTCTGACCTCAGTTGTTCTTGGAATCTACTATTGGCTTTGTCATCACTGAGTTAAACTCGAATGAGTCTTCTTAGTGTGGCTTTTCTGCATCCAGTGAGGCGCAAGCAGATGCGTGCTCGTATTAAAGCATGATCGGAGTCCAAGCAGGTATTCCAGAACGAGCGACAATCTTCTGTCGAGCCTCTCCAACGATGACTGATGACAATATGGTCTATTTGAGTCCATCGTTGGTTTGGTGCAGAGGGTCGCCATGTTAGACAATATCTCTCCTTATGCTGAAAATTAGTGTTTGCTAAAAATGAATGATTGTCTGAGAACAGTTGCAGCAGGCGACCACCATTATCTGTTCGCTGAACCGGAATTTTAAAATAACCGTCTAAATGTCTTTCAGCTTAGTTTATGCTACTTACCTGTGCATTAAAGTCACCTGATACGAGTACTATGTCTGAGTGTTTAGGTTTCTGAAGAAGTTCAGAAAGCTTTCTGTAAAATTCATCTTTCACTTTATCCGGGCTGCAGTCAGTGGAAGCGTAGGCAGAAACGACGAAAAGGCAACGACATGTGCCGAACAACACATAAGCGACTGTCAACAGGGAACCATTCTAAAAGTGCTTGACTTGCACCCATACTTAGTGCTATGGCTAAACCTGTCAGCCCACGAGGACTTGACGTAAGGTCACTAAGTAAACGGAGGGTATATCTTTTCGGCTCCCCGTTTTGGTTTCGTGAGGTTAAGTGAATGACCACACTAGGAGTGTTTCGGAGACAGCGTATATCAATGGTACGAGATACCAGGGTCTTGGCCAAGGAGGTCTGCTGGCCGTACAGTCGAGGCTGCAATGTGTAGTTCAGAGCGAGATTTCAGTAGACCTGAGATAGTATTTCGCATACTAGAATCGTTGGCCATGGTGAAACGTGAATCGATGAAGTTTATAGTCAAGGTACGGGGGGTAATAGGAGTTAAAGAGGGAAACTGATTATTAATAGTGATCTTGAGTGCTGTCAGAGGTATGAGGGCAGTTACTACTTCCCAATTGCCCACACTGTGGAAGGGTTCTTCTCGAGATACCTGAAAAGGAAATTGGGTTAGAGGTGGTTTTGGTGACATGAGAGCGTGACCACAGTACTCAAGGGACAACTGCTTGAGGCCGGTCACACACGACTTCGCTGTGAGTAATTTTCGTGTTAGCTCCGTATGTTTTAAAACTTTACCGCCGGAGATGAATATCCGTGGGATAAAGCGAGATATGTATTCTTAGGGTTGACTTTTTCTAACCCACCCTTCTTGGTGGGAAGTCACCATCACTGTTATGTTTGATGCTTTTAGTCTTAGCATTCTTAAACCGACTTGTCTGGCATGGTAGGACCTTGAGGAACGATTTTTCCAGCCAGTGTATCTCGATTAGTTCATCACCATAGGCAAGTCCGATCACCACGTCAAGGTAGCAGCGACGGTAGAATATTTGGGAAAGAGATAACTTCAAAAAGCTTTGTTTGATAATAGATTAAACATAAATAGAATTACCAAGGGAAACTGGTACTGATACTTAAAACATGAACAGGCAATGTAGAAAGAAAATCATGAATTCGACCAACACCAATGAAACTTGAAGGGGAATGTGATTTATGATCATTAGAGTTTGATCCAGATGATTCAAATTGTGAGGTAGAAATCAAATTAAATTCTATTGTTTGTGCATGATGAGTTGGCGTTACAATTGAAGTTGTCGCCAAACTATGCGCAGATAAATTTGAATGATGGCTTCTAGGTAATGTACTGTATTCTTCTGGATTGATTTCACCGAATAAACTATCATTACGAATAAGTAGAGAAAAAGAATCGTCTGACTCGTCAATACTTAATTCAGCTGCTTCCGCCTCAAACAATTCAGAATCTTCGAATACAAGAGCAACCAAATTAATTGTCTCAGTATCAGGTGATAAACAATCTCGTTTTGACCACCGGAAAGTTCTTGGAGCCATTCCCTACTAAAAAACAACCACCGCGAAAACGAGTTATTATGAGTTATTTCAAGAAAAAAACAGAAAATGGCAATATGGAAATTATTCGGAATGCCGAACAACATATTATAGCAATAAAGGGGGCATAAAATACGGTAGATAAATAACTATATTTAATGGTTATTTATCGGTGCATTGACTTACCCGATAACAATTTAGAGTATAACTGAAGGAGCATTAAAAAAAATCTGAATCGATCAATATGACTATAGAGTACCTAATTTTATATTTTCTAATTTGTAGTGTTGACTGAGCGCTATCAACTAAAATACTGATACATCCAGTAGACTCGTCCCCGATACTAAATAAGAAGACTTAGCTAACGTGGATTTTGATAAGGTAAGAGTTGGAGGTATGTGAAAATTCGATAAGCCTTAAATAATATGCATTAAGGCTACAGCAAGAGACAGATGCGGTATTCCAACTAGCCGGTTTTATTTTAAGAAAGATTAGATGGTACAGCATACGGTTATGGTTCGAGTACCTGTGAACGAGTATGTACCTCTCGATTTTATGCATATACCTTCCTCATGGATCTAAGTAAAAAAATATCTAAGATGTAATGGTGAGTTACCCAATAAATAAAAATTTGAGCTTTGAAAAAGTCAAAAAACATGTAGTGTTAAAGAATTATAATTTATGCTACCATACGAACGAGCAGGGAGTTTATATATTTGAATATGCGAAATCAACCTTTTGAGATTTCAAAACAAAATTCTATTTGAACATTATAAAAAAATACGTCATTCAAGCATAACCTTCGAGTATAGTGTATATAAGATAATTTTTTATTAACATCTAGCGATGTTCAAGAGACAATTCACGAAGTTAAGCATTTACTAATTTAAATATCGCAGGTGATAAACAAAGAATATTACGTGAAAGTATTCTTAGTTTATATCCCGCATGGATCTTAGTTAGACAACTATTGAAAAACTATGAGGCAGCTGTTTTGTTTTGAAACGAAACCTCTCAGTCGTGAATGTTCACGACCTCACTGCAGACCAAAACCCAGATCCTTAAGGTCTCACGGGGGAAGCTCAAATTAGACATGTAAGCTTCCTTAGTGATCTGAAGGTTGAGCACTCGCTGTGTGATCTGAAGATCCTGAGTTCGATACCAAAAGATTGTGGATGAGCACCACTTAGGTCTCATATTGAAATAAAGCAGGTATTCAGTGCTTCCTGGTTTTTCAATGGTTGTATAAGATTAGTCAGTGGTGTAAGAATTGAAATTCAACAATCTTCACAAATCCCCTAAAGAAATTTGACAGCACTCGTGATACATCCAAACAAATTAATTAAAAAAACTAATTATCTGGAAATCTAACTGCGTTTATAAAGTTAAAACAATATGTTACCTGTTCGAAAAGACACAAATTCAGATAGAAATAAAAAACAATATACATTCATAGAAATAAAATTTTGGGAAAAAACAGAATTCATAATATTATTAGACATTTTAATTCGAAAAGTAATGTAGTACAACGATAATGCTTTTTGTAATATCAACTTTAATATCCATGTAAGAGTGTGGAAATGTGAAGAGGCACATATACATAAATGATACCGTCAACTTTAATTGAACAGCATAAAGCATGATTTATTTAGAAGAAACAAAGGAAATAGGTAGATCAGTAATCCCACATCAAACTCTTTTTTATTCATCCTGTGACATGACTGTGAATTCTCACAAGTAAACTAGTCAACTCTTCAAACACCTTTATAAGTAGAACTAATTCCAAGATTGATTTGTTCTTTAGTACAATGAAATACAGCACTAAGTAATCGAATAAAACCTGTATCCATAGGTTTATCCAAACCACGTAAGAGTCTATGTCGCATAACACCAACAAATTCACGATAACTTAATTGTCCATCATCTAAAATATTAACGAAAATAACAGAAAAATAGACGAAAAACTGTAGAATAACGGAAAATATTTCGCAATCGAATGGACGTTATTCAAACAGATTTAAAAATGATGAAGATTCGCACAAGAATTTCTCAACCTTTTGGAACCAATATTGCTCTATCGTTAATTCACTCCCATTTTATACAGAAAAAAAGACACAACAATGAGAGAAAACAAATGTGAGATAATTAGCAAAATAAATTGAATCAACTGTGATAAATATTATATTGAACAAAGTGGATGCCTTCTTCAGTTACGCATACACAAACACAAACTATCAGTAAAACTATATGATATATTACCACTGATATCAATGCATAGAAATAACTATAGACAAAAATATGAGTAGCAAAACGTGAAGATCATAGACTGAGGAAACTCTAATAATGCCAATGAATTTCTGGAAGCATAGCATTCAACTCATTGAGTAATCAATAGAAAAAATTGTTTAAACCCACCCTATTAGTCTGTTTGACAAAGGTTAGTCGGGAACATGATTACAGGTCAACAACACAAGAAAGTCAACCTAAGTACAATTCTAGTGAACAAAAACACGAGTGGAGAAGATCGAATGCATTAGACCACAAAATTACAGAGCATCTCACTAAAATCTGAGAACCATATAGTAAATAGTTAATTTGCAAAATATCAATCTTTCGTCTCAAACTTGACTGTTCCTTTTGCAAATATCAGCCCATTGTCTCCGATTCGATTGTTCATGCATTTTCATACCGATTGCGTTCCATTTCCATTCTTTCCTTATCGATCTACTGAAATACATTCTGTGCCTGACCACCGTTATATACTACTTATGTGGATATAAGTAACCCACACCACATAAGGATAAGTGAAGGTAATGAAATTTATGAAGACGATCAATCATAAACAAGCCCACGAAAACAAACTGATTTAGGACCTATGAAATAAGTAAGAAGCTTACTTCTAAATAGAGTAAACAATGGTGATACTGTTTAGAACAATAAGAAATTTGCAATTAAACCATTTAGCTCAAGGAACTCGACAACATCAAAAGACTAAAAAATTAAGGCAGTCTTTGAAAATCGGAGTTATATGGGGAATGTAGATAGGTAAGGAGGGTCCACTTCCAGTACGTCTAGAATATAGAAACTCGGGAAAAATCATACTTCATTAATTGATATACGGTTATATTTACGTCCACAAACTACTGATTTTAATTTGAATAAGCATATTATCTTGTTACTATTAAAAAAACCCTATGTATTGTTTAGAGATCTAATAAACAAACTACTGAAATGGATATTTGACAAAATGTACACGAAATTCACTGACTTACTATTCTCATCGAATAAAGTGAACACAACATCTAAAACATGTGGTGACAAGTGAAGATTGGCGACAGTTGAAGCAACATGATTTAAAGTATCTTGATTAATTGATGCCCCAGCCATATGATAAAATGTTAAAGCAGTATCCACATCAGCAATAGATCGAAGTAAATGACTGAAATCAGAAAAATCTTTATACGTGATACCCTGAAACATATATATACATGAAAAAAGGGAGGATTAAGATTTTTGGTAAGAAAAAACATTCTATTTGTAAGTGTGGTGTGAAAAATAAAGTCTACATTAAACAGACTAAGAATAATTAATTGTAAACAAAAAACAACTCGTTATAAGTAATGTAGTAGAACAAATGAACTGTTTATTAAGATTTACAAACTACTAATTAACATGAAATGGATGAATTACAGATATTATATAATTATTATCTATCTATATGTGGTAAAATTGACAGAATATTCAACATACTTATAATCGAATAGTAGTATATACTAGGGAATGTATGCGAATGATTATCATGAAAACGATAAACTATTTCAGTTTTGACTGTAGTTGTAAAGTTACTATTGTGAGAGAATTACGTTTAAGCCAACAAAAAACCCCATTTCAATGATTAGTGCAGACATGGGAACAGTTAGGAAACCATGAAGTTCTTCACTACCTACTTAGAATAATCTCATGGTTATTACTATGAATAAATAGCTTCATTTTGTATGCATGTATATGTGTAATCGTTAATGATACTGATCAACTATCAAGATAAGAGTAAATAGATTAGATTTTAAAACCAACTTAGCGATTGTAAGTGCAGTAACAGCCGAACAGTAAATACAGTTTAATCCTAACAATAATGAGTTGAAAACTTAATAACATTAAAATATTTAACTGATGGAAATAGAATGATGTGAATTCAAGAAGGCTGTAAATGCACATTTTTAATGAAAGCCTACAACAGTGCATAATAAATAAGGCTTAAAACATTTAGTACTCCAATATCTTAGATAATAAATTTTAAACATAGAGATACTTGGATTGTACGGAGAAATTAACCAAAAAAAAATATTTCTCTAAATTAAAATATATCAAAGTAACTTTGATATTATCTTTACAGGAAAGAAATTTCAAACAATAATTACACTAGTTTCATTCAACTGTAATGAATAAAAGAAAATTTGTAAGTTGTAAATATATTCAATCGAAAATTTCACAATGCAATTCACATGTTCATTATAACACAGCTATTAAGAAAGGTTAAGGTCAGTTGAAACAGCATATAGCAATTACAAACTGAATTATTTTTATATACAGTGGCAAAGTAAACAGATTTTTATATTAGGAGAAAAATAATGAAGTGCGAAATAATCATATATATCACTAGTAGAGAAAGGATGAGGAAAACAAAGAGAATGACAAGACCTTTAATAACCAAGAGAGAGGATAACGATAGGGCAAACATTTTCAAATATATATAGATCAGGGTGGTTGGTAGAATGTGATGAAAGATATTTAACACTTTCTTTCAAGTGGTGTTCGAACATGTCTATTACACGTGGTTGAACTATTTGCATTTAGAAGAAATCTAAAAGACTTTTGTTTTTTTTCTTCTTAGCTAAGAAAAACGTAGTGAAAGCTTTCATTATGTAATGGTCTTGTAGTCGATCAACACAAAAAGGAGTGAAAAAAAGACTTACACTAGACTGATCAGAATCTATAGGAAATTTTGCTTTTACTCGACGAATCATTTTGCGTCTTTTATTCTCAGAAAATCCAGCATAAACAAGTAGAGAATTGGCGAATTGTACTTCAGTAATTTTTCCATTCTTTGGTTCAGCTCTTTCAAACTGAAATTTTGTTTTAAAAAAGTATACATATATAAACTTTCACAAGAGAAAGATATAGCCAATCAATAAAGACATAAAAAATACCACCTGAGCGATCAGTCATTTGTCTTTAAAAAATTGCTTATAAGCATTATTTAAATATAGCGATTTTTCGTGAAGTCCTTCTATAAAAATGTGCAAGTTATTGCCATCATGAAACTAAATCAATCAAAAAACTATCGAAAACAACGAACTATTATAAGTTGCTGACCACAAGACCTGTTTTTCATTCGGTTAATTAGGTGGGGTGATGGGCATACGGTGGGTAGAAACAACTGTCCAATGCTTTCTAGTTATGGATAGTGTTCAGTAACTCATGATGAAAACGATCGTTGATTAATGATTTGTTAATTGCAATTTAGAATAAGTGAAATAGCCAATCTAACCACTGTCTACATTGATGCATAATGTTGGCTGGTTCCAGAGTCGGTTGAAAGAAAACTAGGGACGACCAAAACAAAAATTGGTATCAATCAATGAAGTCACTGACTGTCGGACTGAGTAGTGTTGGTGGCTTCAAGTTACCTGATTGGGGTCAGCGTGATTAGCGTAACAAGTGATTGGAGATGTAAGATGATATGTCCCAGAATCGATCGCAATGGCACAGATGCATGTACTCTTTGTCTTCCTTTGAGTTTTAAGAATATTTTGTACATTTTTTTATTTTGCGAAATCTTTGTTATAAAATCATATAGTCTATACACAGTCTTGTTTATAATTATTGATACTGCTACGAATTATACTACTTGGAGATTTATTTTGATAATTTCATCTCACTGTGCTTAAATGATGCGGTTACTTAAACCGATGTGTACACGTATGCCAGGCTGTGAATTTTATGTGGCTGATTGATTGTTATGGTGGTTTATCATGATTGGTAAGACAAAATCTTAGATTTTCAAAATCAACTAGTAAATACTAATCAATAGACGGACGTAATGATAGGATGTGTGGCCTAGTGACAGACACTCACGAGACCGTATGATTGATTAAACCCATTGAATGATTTGAAATCAAAGAAAATAATACTAATAGCCAGAAAATAAGTTTTCTAATGTGATAAAACGG